CCACTGCGTTCTGCCTAAGCAGGCCCTTTAGTCTGCTGTGACTTAATACTCTTCAATAGTATTTTCTGAAATTATTGCAGTTCCCAGAAAATAATTAAAGGTAACTCAAAAATGAAAACAGATACCTAGCAAAGAAAATGCACAGATATTTTGGAATAAGGAAGATCAGAAAAAATGGTTTTAGACAATTTAGAAAAAAATGTTTTTTCTAATCAGAAAATTTTATTTAGTTATTAAGTGGTTTTCTACCACTGAGAAATCTAAAATACTTTTGTCGAACTTCAAGTTTTGGTTAACATAACATAGACTAAAGTAAGATTACATTGTCATCCTTTTTCCATAGAACTGAAAGTTTAAGCTACAGTCATGGTAGGTCCAGTGTCTTACTAGAATATACCTGTTAGTGTGGTAGAGAGCATGTGTCAGACAAAATGTATGCTGGCATGCAGATAAGTTCTGGTGAAGGAATTTATGAAGAACCAACTAGTTAACATTTGAAATACATAAAGTCAATTCTGAACGAAGGAGACAGGAAAATATAATAAGACTGAAAGGAAGTCAAATTAATTCATACAATGTAATGAAGCAAAGGACAAAAAATAGTTAACAAATATTTGAAAAGTTAAACTCAAGGACTGTATTTTGTATTTCCACTCAATGCTTTACAGAAAATGAGAACTGATTAAAAACCACACAAAAGTTACTTATTTTTGCAGCAGAAATCTTCAAATACTGTCCATTATTTTTCTAAAAATGAAAGATTATACATTTTTCTCCCACAGGATGATTTCAACCTTATGATGCCTACTGTAGAATTATAACCTCCAAAATATAAGGTAATAAATAGTTAATGTTTTCCACAACAAAATTTGAGATCATTTGTTATCACAGCAACATCAAACTAATAATTTTGAAGTGATCAAGATGTGTTCATAACCACAAAACATAAAGACTGTGTAGAGTTGCCCCAGGGACTATATACAAAGGATTTGTAAAAGTGAAGTCATATCCTCCTTGTAACTAAGAATTCCACAGAACAGAATTAAGAAGGTCAAGCACCAAAATTTTTTCTGAAAAAATTGGTTAAAATTTCAGACTATTTTACATGAGTCTTGTGTGGATTATATGGTGTTTTGGATAATACACTTTGCATGTAATAAATGTAGTATAAAATATTTTTATAGAGTTAAATATTAATCCACTGCATTTGTTTCATACTATGCAATTGTTTGGCACAATTAACACTAATTGTTCAGTATGCTACAATGGCCTTTTTATGGGGTGCAAGTCTCAGAGAGAAATGATTTTATACAACATTGTAATGTATGCATTTATTAACAGTTAAATTTAATGTTGCAAAAGAGGCAAAACTCAGAACTATAAATGACAAATTTATGGAGAACATAATGAGAGTTCTATATTCAAGGAGCAATGTGATATGGATAACTAATAATCATTTTGTCAAAAAATTATTGAAAGGTTTCTTCTAACTATTGGAAAACTTACAAACATAACATGGAAAGAAGTGTTCTATTTTCATTTATATTTAAATAGCCATTTAATAAGGAGATTAAAAAGGTAAGTCTGCCTGTTTAATATGATCAGTACACAAAAAGAGAGGAAATACATTATATGACTTTGAAAATAGCGGGGTGCAGTTTTAATTTTTATATCAAAGCATTATTTCATTTCAGAGTTTTGATCATTTTAAGTTTTTCTAAACAAATTAAACTGTTGAATTTAGTGTGTGGTTAAATTGCAATTCAAGAAAAACAAATAGAAGTTTTTTGAAGAGTATGTGCCAACAGGCAATAATTGCTTCATCAAGCACTATCTCCTTAGTTTAATTAATCAAGTCTTTCTCTTAGTCTCAAGTATAATTAAATCTGATAACCTCAGAGTGGACTACTCACTGAGCTTCTAGGAAATTATGCTTAATTTCAACAGTTTTTTCCATCATTCAGGCAAATAGTTCTGTGAATAGTCCAGTATAGTGCTATTTAAAAAAATCTTATTGGGCCTGTGAGATGGCTCAGTAGACTAAAGTGCCTGCTTAGAAAAGCTTAATCAAGTGCAGGGATTGTGGTTCAATTCCTGGCACCACATATATCACCAGCCCTGCCCCCAGGGCTGTCTGAGCCAGTCACAGAGTCCAGACATAGTGGCACACTCCTGTAATCCCAGCACTGGGGAAGCTGAAATCAGGAGGATCACTAAGAGTCTGAGTTGCATAATGATACCCAGTAACAATCAAATACATTTAAAAATAAATAAATAAATAAATAAATAAATAAATAAATAAATACAACTTAAAAGAATAAATCTTATTTGTGGGACTTAAGGTATTATGGAAGGGCCTGAATCACCTTGCTAAATGTATTTTCATTAATATTTACTCTCTCTTTTTCTCATTATATGGAATTATTCACCTTTATCAAACGGAAATAAGACTCCAAAGAATCTTTCATAGTATATGTTTGAAAGATAATAGGTAAATTCTAGCAATATGGATTTGATAACTATATTCAATATTATCTACGTTTTTTTTTTTTTTTTTTAGTATATGGTCCATAGGGTCACACTACACTGATTGAACTTGTAAAGATTCTCCTGTTTCCAGGCTCTGAAGTGCTGGGATTATAGGTACGCACCACCACTCCCAGTCTTGCTCTACATTTTGCTTTCTTCAAATAAGGAAAAATATAGCAGCAAAACCACACAATTATTGATGTCCTATCAAAATTAACAATGATCCTCAACATATTATTGTGCATGTTATAAGGCATAAAGAAGTGTATCTAGCTATTTTATGAACATCTAAGTTGAATATTTAAGTCAGAAAAAATACAATAAATATTGAACTCTCAATAGTATCTGAAAATGTGTGCGATTTAGTTGCTATTTGTCCAAATAAACTTTTAATACTTACACATTCTCTTTGTTCTCTAGCGTCAAATCTACTTCAACTTGTAGCTCACCAGTGAATTTTTCCTTTGATTTGAAGGAATATCATTTATAAAAACAGTGATCTGCATCATTGCAAGGATCCATTCCTGGCTCTCTCCAGCTTCTGGTTATGGCCTGCATTGCTTGGTGATGCAGTCCCACCTCTAATTCCTTACTCCTATCTCTGACTGGTGAGAAAGCCATGTTTAACCAAAATGTGGGCTGTATCATTGACATTTCTCTACATTTTCGCTTTGCTTAATAATGTCAATAGATGGATTCTAGATGATATATTTTAATATTTCTAGTGCAACACAGAAAAGTTTTTTTGTAAAAAATACACACTAAAATTCCTTAATTTTTCAAATCTTGTAAGTTTTTCTGTTTTTCAAATCTTTTTATTTTATTAGGCTGCATCTGCAGTTCATGCAGTTTGGTATTGCCTTAGAGAGTGGGCAGAGGAGCCCACTGCTGCCTGTTTCTCTTTTTTCTGAAATCTCCCTCCCCTTCTCCCTTCTTCATCCTCTAATCCCTCTATGCCATTTTCATCTTTATTGATCTTATTGCTCTTAGTTCATATTATGACATATGATCACATTAATTGAAACTATTAACTTCCTGAACATGAATATCTTTATTCTATTCATTTCGCTTTCCTTTTCCCCTCATTCCTCTTCCTTGAAAATGGATGCACCTAGAAAATATAATGTTGAATGCGATCAGACCGGCACACAAGTTTTAATACAATATGGTACCTCTCATTTGAGTGTACCAAAGCACAAAGAGAATGACTAAGGATGCATAGAAGGTGGAGGAGAATGAACTTATTTTAATGTTCTCATTTCTGGATGTTTAAAGATGCAAAATAAACTGTGACATCCCTGATTAAAATATTTGTTCCCATTGTCCTTATTTTACAATATTCTGA